AAGTAAGTTCACACCTCAGCTGGTGGATGAGATTGTGGGAGATGCTCTCTTTCAGATGAGAAGTTAAACCTAGATCCCATCTGCCTGTTGATGTTGATGTTAAAGATCCCGAGACTCTTTACGAAAAGAGAAGGGAGTTTCTACTGTTAGCCATTGGATACTGATAAACATGGTGATGGGCTTCTGCAAGTGTCAGATACCCGCTGACCAAACAAAATCCTGGATAACTACCCCCCAGATAAAAAATTGGTCCTTTCACTTAACAGCTAACAGCTATTTACAGGATATTAGCTGTGCGCATATCAGTTGCTGCATTTCACTTCAAGTACACAGACACTGCACTTTACAGTAAAGATTTGTGAAGTGCTTTGAGATGTTCTGAAACTCCCAACGACTCAAAGTAGCCAAACTCTTTCGGAACTGTCTCTGAATTTTTTGCTAACGGCTGTGGACTGATCAACCTCCACCCCGAACACACATTTCGCCAACCACACATCCCCAAAACTAATGGAAAGAGATTTATGCAGCGTTTTGCACGTAAAATAGAAGCATTTCGAAACGCTAGTCAGAATGAGATTAATTAGAGATGAAGTGAGTATTGTTAGGGAGGCGAGCAAAGCAGCTAATCTGTTTCTGTGACGTCCGCACACAATACAATGGAGAGGGGAGTATGGAAGGAGTTAGAGAGAGAAAGACAAGACTTTCACAAGGCAGATGTAATGTAAATTAACGACTCCATCAAAATCAAATTGAGCAATTGAACTGGACTGAAATAAACAGAGAAATTGATTTGAATACGGCAATGTGTGCAAACAGACCAGCTAACCCCAACATCAGCCAGCATGGAGATGATTTGTCAGTGTCGGCCTGGCTCAGTCATTAATGCTCTCACCCCTGAGTCATGAGGGTTACATGAATATAATAATAATCCTGGCATTTGATATAGCGCCATTTCACGTCATTGAAATGTCTCAAAAAGCTTCACAGGATATATCGTAAAGTGAATTGACTATATTTTGTGGGCAAAACACCATAGCCAATTGTGTGCAACAGTGTCCCATAAGCAGTCATGGATTGAGGGACCAAATTATCATTATTATTTTTTGGAGGGATTATTACCCCTGGAAAGCAATCTGCCAATCGATTAACAACAGGGGTCCTACTTCCAACCCACTGTAAATCGCACCATACCAGTCCTTATCAGGCTCCTTGTCACAGAATGGATTGATTTCTAGATCCTCTTTTGTCTACAAATCTCTTTATGCCCTGGCACCTCCCTACCTTTCTGACCTGCTTTCTCCCCCACTCCACTACCTGCTGCCTCCGCTTGGCTGGCTCTGGCCTCCTGCTTTCCCTTCGTCCCCTCCGCTTCACCATCAAAGTCCTTGCTTTCAGCCACTACGCCCCAAAAATTTGGAACTCTCTCCCCCAAACCCTTCGCTATGCCTCCTCTTTCCCCTCTTTCAGATTATGACTGAAGACTTTCGTCTTCAAACGTGCTTACGGTCACCTTCTCCCTCCCCCCGGCTAGGAGCACTTAAGTGCTGTTAAGTGCTCCAAGATGTTACCCTGCATGAGAGGCACTGTGTAAATGCCAGTTGGTATTGTTGTTGTTATTAGAGGCTTATAGCTCAGTGGTTAGAGCTCTCACCTCGCAAGCGAGAGACCTGGTTTCAATTCCCAGGCAGGGCGAAACGCTGGGCAAGTTTCCTTATTTCACACGCCTCTGTTTACCTAGCAGTAAGTAGGAACCCGGTTGTCAAGTCAATTTGCGGATCGCTGGTCCGAGGATAATAATCTCTCAAAAAAAAATTTTTCGTTGCTCAATCCACAACTGTTTGTGCGGGACACTGCTGAGCGTAATTGGCAGTCTCGTTTCGCCCACAAATATACAGTCAATTCACTTTACAATATATTCTGTGAAGCGCTTCGAGATGTCTAGAAGACGTAAAAAGCACTATATCGATTGCAAGGACTATTATTATTATATTATTACTACTACTACTGAGCCAGGCTGACAAATATATTATTTTCAAGGCAATACCTACCAATACCAACTGGTAAGGGAAACATCTTTCCAGGTAAAATCTCCCCCACACACCCCCCCCCCCCCCCCCAAAAAAAAATCAATGAACCTGTTGATATGTGGTGAAAGGGGTTAATGGGAGTGTGGAATGGGAGCATTTCAAGTCTTTCCCTGAGGGTCAGTTGATGGGAGTCGATTTGTGATTGTTTTCAGGTTAATGTCCTCTCAATGGATATCTCAGTCTGTACCTGACGCCTGTGTAATTGTCTGGGCGTTTCCCAATGGGAGACACTTTACATTGAAACAAAGCCCTTTAAGAGCTGTAGAGAGGTAGGGAGTGGTGAATAGACAAACCAAAACCACCCACCCCAGTGACATTGTGTCTGCACTGCAAACAGATCAATGGAAATCCCCAGTCTCAACGTTTTTTTATATAAAAAAATGAACAAAAGTTTTTTTTAAAACAATTGCTTGTTTTTTTTAAAAATAGTGTAACTTTTCAAAGCAAAGTTTATCAGAACTTTCCTTTCAACAGGAAAGAACGAGATGCAGATGATTTTTCTCTCTCCCACCCCTCACACAGTTCAAAGTTCTTCCTGATCAGAATTGGCTGTTTTATTTGGTGGAGGGGCTGTGAATTATTTAAAATCCTATTTAAGACCAATTGCCTTTCCAATCTTTGTGGATACAACAAAAACGGGCAATTTTACAACTTCTTTGTTTTTTTTAAAATTAAATTCATTTTATATTTCCTCTTAAATATTCTGTTTCTCAATTACTGAGAAAGAAAACATGTGGTCATTCAAACTAAGACTACTTGTGGGATACTACTGTGTGCAATTGGCTGCTGTGTTTTGCCCACAAAATACACAGTCAAATCACTTTACAGTATATTCTGCGAAGCGTAGAATTATTTTTTATTTATCCTTCAGTGAGAAAGTGGAGACTCCAGCCCAAAGATGGGGGGAGCCTCCACTACATTGTCGGAGGTGCTTTGCTTTGGATGAGACGTTAAACCAAGGTCCTATCTTTGCCTGCTCAGGTGGACATTAAAGATTCCGTGGTGCTATTCAAAAAAGAAGGGAGTTTCTCCTGTTGTGTTGACCAAAAACAAATAAAATGGGTGATTCATTTCAAGTTTGTTTGTAAGGTAACGCTGTATGCAAAATGGCTGCTGTGTTCACCTCAGTCACTACACTTTACAGTAAGTCCACTGAAGCACTCTGAGGCATCACCCTAATGTGAAAGGAAATATATTAAAAGCAATGATTCTCATTTGTGCAGTCCCATACTGTAGTGGTTAGTGCACTCGCCTTGTAAGTGACAGGACTTGGGTTTGATTCCCGGGCAGGGTGAAATCTACACAGGTTTCCTTACTCTGCACGCCTGTTTATCTAGCAATAAGTAGGAACTCGGTTGTTAGTCGATTGGAGGATTGCTTTCTGGGGTTCATAAGCCCTCCAAAAAAACCTGAATCCACGACTGTTTGTGGGGTACTGATGTGTGCAATTGGCTGCAGTGTTTCGCACACAAAATAGTCAATTCACTTAACAGTATGTCCTGTGAAGCATTTTGAGACCTCCCAGTGACATAATTAGGCGCAATATCAAATGCAAGGATTATTATTATTAAAAGGGAGTCCCGGAGGGGAAGAGATTGACCGAGCTCAAAGCAGAAACACATATGGACAAATGATCTGTACAATTTTTTATTCCAAAAGTAATTTCCAGGTTCTTTGATCGATTCCAACATTTTTAGGCTCTGAAAAAAGATCATACACATGAATGTAATAAAATAGTTGAAAAAGTATAAATAAGTCCATACTTCCAGTAGGTAACTTCCAAAAGTATAATTTACACAATATAAACTGTAATGGAGCATATATACACATGATATTACCTCAATGTATAGTCAAAAATACAGTATTTCCAGTGGATTCAAGTCCCTTGAAGGAACTTTGAACTCACAGTCTAGGCTGACACTCCAATGCAGTGCATGTACCGTGCAGCAAATGTTGGGAGGTGCCGTTCTTCAGATGAGACTTTAAACTGAGGTCCCCTCTGTGCCTGTTCAGGTGGACGTTAAAGATCCCACGCACTTTTCAAAAAGAGAAGGGAGTTCCTCCCTCCCAGTGTCCTGGCCAACAATCCCCCAGATAAAATTGGGCATTCATTTCATGGCGGCTTGTAGGTCATTGCTGTGTGCAAATTAGCTGCCGAGTTCACCCACAAAATATACAGTCACATCACTTTACAGTATAATCTGTGAAGCGCTTTAAGACATTTCGATGATGTGATAAGGCACTATATTAAATGCAAGGATTATTATTATAAAGGAATAGGAATTAGTTGCAACACAGCATGCTCACTGTACAGAACCTGCTTCAGTTGGGGAGGGAGGGAGAGAGGCAGGGAAGAAGGGAGAGATGGAGGGAGGGACAGTGGGAGTGAGAAAGCCAGAGAGAGAGTGTGGAGACAGGATGTATATTGTACTTCAATTTTTTTTAAAAAACAATCATTTGTTTCATGGCCATTTTGTACGATGTTGCTGTGTGCAATTGGGCTGCTGCATTTGCCTAAAATGCATTCACCTGACTTCAGAGTAAATCCTGTGAAGCACTTAAGACATAGCATAGTGGTTAGCACGTCAGCCTCGCAAGCGAGAGGATTCAATTCAATTCTGGGTTCAATTCTAGGGCAGGGAGAAACCTTAGGCAAGTTTCCTTACTCCGCAAGCCCCGTTTACCGAGCGGTGAGTAGGAACCAGATTGTTAGTTGATTGGTGGATCACAACGCAGTGAAGTGCTTTGATGCGTCCTCCCAGAGGTAGAAAGGCAGGGGCTGTATCAAACATGAGGATTATGATACATAAACATATGAGCGGGAAGTTAAGAAAAAAGAAAGGAACTTATGTGTGGGAGTGAGAGAGGGAGGGAGGGAATCTTTGCAGAGTCGATGCCCGTCCCTTGCAATCCTCAGACCTCGGTGCCTTCCCTGGGGTAGATCAAACTATTCACACTGAAGCTGTTGTAGAAGTGACAGCTGGCTTGGCCGGTGGGGAAGGAGTTGTAGTAAGCGGGACGGTTCAGGTGGATTGCGTCCACTGTATCTGAGGATTCGTGCGAGGACAGGCCGGCACCACTCGTGCAGTAGGAAGCGGCCATTCCTGTGACGCTCCTCTGAGTCAAGTTCCCGGTGAATCCCACGGAAACCTGCCTGTTGGCCGGAGCGCCACTGATGGCTGCAACGCTGCTGAAAAAGCCACTGAGACACGGACTGGGTTTGCCCTCGGGGTCTGGGGAGCCCCCCGACCGCTCGAGCTCCCTCACCCCCGTGTCCAGCCCGCCTGTGGGGCTCTCCTCCGCCTTCAAGCCAGCCCCTAAGCCACTGTCCCCGGGCTTCAGGGGACCCGAGCCGGACTCGCTCCGGCGCTTTCTCTTCCTGCGGAAATTCCCGTTGTCGAACATTTTCTCGCAGTTCGGGTCCAGAGTCCAATAATTGCCTTTCCCTGTGCAAATCAGTCGCAAACAAAAAAAATATAATGTAATTTATACAGTATATAGATGTCAATTCTCCCCACCACATCAACACTCATCTTGCAAAACTGTCATTACAGATGCACCCAAGTAATAATAATAATCCTTGCATTTTGATGTAGCCCCTTATCACATCATTGAATCGTCTCAAAGCGTTTCACAGAGTATATTGAAAAGTGAATTGACGTATACGAATATACAATATATTCTGTGTATTTTTGTATTTTTGTGGGTGAAACGCCGCAGCCAAGTGTGCACAGCAGTGTCCCACAAACAGTCATGAATTGAGGGACCAATTTTTTTTAAGGGATTATTACTCCCAGAAATGTGATCCACTGACAACCGGGCTCCTACTTACTGTTAGGTAAACAACAAATGATATTACATTTGTAAATGCCTTTCACATCGGGATGGAGACCCGACAGAGACGTGTGGAGTAAGGAAACTTGCCTGGGAATCGAACCCGGGTCCTCACTCTTGCGAGACGAGTGCTCTAACCAATACGTTATAGGATTCTATTCCCCCCACAACTTTCCTGCGCCCCCATCACATTATTTTGAATTTATATTTATTTTCAAATTAAGCCCCCTTACCCCAAAAAATAGAAATTCAATCAAAACAAAAATTTGGGACTGCGAAGCAAAATGAACAGCAGATGTTACATTGTCAAACCCACACAGCCTTCCAATCAACCTGGGATCAATCACTCAACCCATATTGTATGGAGAGAAACTATTTTAAATATATATCACAAAATAAATTTTAAATTCCAATGCCGAGGCAAGACAAAAAAGCATAAAACTAGACACAAAATACAGGGAGATTTGTAATACAGTAAACCTCACGTAAGTCTTATCAGTTGGGACTGTACATTTAATATGATTTATGCAGAGTATGAGTTATGTCACATTTACATAGAATATAAACTCTTGAACAGGACTTAGAATAATAATAACAATAATAATAATCCTTGCATTTGATACAGCCCCTTATCACTTCTTTGAGACATCTCAAAGCGCTTCACAGAATATACTGTAAAAGTAAAATTGACTGTATATTTTGTGGGCGAAACGTGGCAGCCAATTACGCACAGCTGTGTCCCACCAACAGTTGTGGATTGAGGGAATCACTTTTTTTAAGTGATTATTACCCCCAGAAAAGCAATCTGCCAATAGCGAAACAACAAAGTTCCTACTTGCTGCTTGATAAACAGTGGCGTATGGAGTAAGGAAACTTGCCTAACATTTTGCCCGGCCTGGGAATCAAACTCAAGTCCTCTCACTTGTAAGGCAAGTGCTCTAACCACTACGCTACAGGACTCCACAAAGTTGAACAGATGTACAACTTAGACAATTGTATGATTTACACAGATCAGATTAATGCAAGTTTTACTGTATTATTTTCTTGTTAAATGCCGCCCCTCTTCCCCATAACAACCCCACTTCCCCCTTCGAAAATGTAACAGAGAGAGTGACAGACAGTGGCTAGTGGTAACCACTTAAAGGAACGGGATCCATCAAAATATATATATATATATATCACAATTGTCTATTTCAAAGCAATCAGTTGGAATAATTGAGCTCTGTTTGCGTGTGAGTCAAAGAGAAAAAGAGACTTACTACAGTGCAAACTCTCAATAGAAGATTCGATGCAATAATTATCACATTTTACAGGATAGTGATCGTGGTCCAAATCTGCCACAGAAAATGACATTAATCACTCTCTTTACGGGGCTGGGTGGGGTGGGGTAGTTTGTAGGTTAGAGGTTGGTGCGGTTGGGTTTTGGGGTGGTAGAGATAACTATTAGGAGATGGCATCTATAATAATTATTTTTGCTTGGACAGCCGGGTGTCTGACACATGTGGAAACCCATCCCCATGCTTAAGAGTCTCCAAACCAAACTGAGAATTCCATGCATCCCACCTATAATAATAATAATAATCCTTGCATTTGATATAGCGCTTTTCACGTCGGGAGGACGTCCCAAAGCGCTTCACAGAACACACTGTAAAGTGAATTGACTGTATATTTGTGGGCGAACCTGCACATGGAAATCCCAGATACATTGTTGGAATGGAATGCGCACTCTCTCCCTGGAGGGACGCATCCTGAATGATAATAATGCATTTGATATAGCGCCTTATCATGCCCTTGAGACATCTCAAAGTGCTTCACAGGATACACTGTAAAAAGGATTGACCGCGTTTTGTGGGCGAAATAAGGATTTATTGAGCAAAGGAGGTTTCAGAGTGTTTTAGAGCCGAGAAGCGAGAGAGAGAATAAGCAAAAGGAAGCGAGCGTTTTGCATCTACTAGTGTTGGCAGGACATTGCTGTGTGAAAATTTTGCTGCCGCACTTGCCTACAAACTATACAGCCTCTCCGTTATTTCATGGTAAATCCTGAGAACTGGTTTGAGATGTACTTCCAACGTGTTAAGGCACTGTAACAAATGCAAGTATTATTATTTATAATTTTACTGTGGAATCCCGAGCAGTAAGTGGGAACCCGATTGTTAGTCGATTGGCGGATTGCTTTCCGGGGGGTAATAATCCCTCCAAAAAAATATGTGGTCACTGAATTTGTAGGACACTGCTGTGCCAATTGGCTGCTATGTTTTGCCCACAAAATATAGTCAATTTTCACTTTACAATATATTCTGGGAAGCTCTTTGAGACTTCACAACATCGTGATAAGGCGCGATATCAAATGCAAGAACTATTATTATTTCACGGTACATCCCAAGAAGCTCCTTGCAATGTCCTTCTGACATTCTTAGGCACTATATCAAATGCAAAGATTATTACTATTATTTCTGATTATCATGATAGCGCCTGGGAGCGCTCGCCTTCTTACCCGGGTCGTCCTCATCTCTGGGCACCTTCTTGAAGCAATCATTGAGGGAGAGGTTGTGTCGGATGGAGTTCTGCCAGCCAGCTTTGCTCCTCTTGTAGAAGGGAAAGTTGTCAGCCACATACTGGTAGATGTGACTGAGGGTCAACCTCTTGTCTGGGGCACTCTGAATGGCCATGGCGATGAGAGCAGAGTAGGAGTAAGGCGGTCTGACCAGCTTGAGAAGCTCCTCTTGGCTGCTGATGGACAACCAGCCCAGATCGGCGTTTGAGAAGCCACCAGAGCCAGGCACAAACGGCTTCTGGGAGCCGTAGGAAGAAGAGGGCACGAAGGATGGAGACGCGCCCCCACTAGGGTGCAGGTAAGGTGGGGGGGAGGCGCTGACTGCCCCCGGGGTGTTGAGCCACAAGTAGGGGTTAGAGTAGTCACCGATGGGGTAAGTGGCCGGTCTCTGGTGCTGTTGTTGATGTTGGTAGGCGCTCAAGTTCTCGCAGTACATCTCCTGTGCTGTCCTAGGACGTAGATAAGGTGGCTCCAAGTCATGCAAGCCAACAGGTTTCATAATCCATCAGCCCCACCCAGGGGGAGCTTCTGTGTGTGTGTGAGACAAGAGAGAGAACTTGTGTGTGTGAGAGAGACACACACACACACAGAGAGACACACACACACACAGAACTTATGTGTGTGAGAGGTGTGAGTGTAAGAGAGAACTTTTGTGTGTAGGTGTATGAGAGACACAGAGACCGAGAGAGGACAAGAGGAAAGCTCTTCAGGTATTTTCTACCAACAGGTGGGGAAAAAATGCTAGTGATCCTGTATTTATATGTGGCTTATCTCCTCCCTCTCTCTCTCTGTCCCTCCCCTCCCTCCCTCCCACTCTCCTCATACTCACTCCCTCCTTTCCCATCATGGTCACTTGGGAGGGGGCTAAACAGACAGACAGACACACAGAGACAGACCAGAGACAGACAACGACACGTTGAGATCCCCTTAACATTTCTCTCTTGTCTTTCTCTCTCTGTTCCCAGTAGGAAAGTTTATCTGAATTGATTGGGAGAGAGAGAGAGAGAAAATGTCTCATTATTTGCAGGGATCAAGTCTTGCACAAAGGGAGATATTGCAATGCAAAAGCAAAATAACATTTGACAGAAAGTGGTGGTGGGGGGGAGTATTTTTTTTTAACCCTTTAAATAAATACCTTTCATTTCTGTTTTTCAACGACTTCAATGAAATTGGAAAGGCAGCATTTCGAGAAAGAGGGGATGGGGATGGGGGGGGTGGGGGGGTGGGGGGGAGTTTAAAAAAAAACTGTTAAAAAAAGCCCCACCTTTTATTGTGCAAAATAATCAATGCAAACCAAACAATGCAAACTCGCGACCAAACCCCCTCTGTCGTTTCGAAAAAAAGTAGCGAAAGGGCGCATTTTCATGCCCTGCCTTCTCTCCTCGCTTGTCTGGTGCTCTATAATGCGGGGAGGGTTTCGCTGGGGGTCCTCCCGAACAGCAGCAGTCACTGTGCATTTGCTTCTTTACCCAAACCTCATTCGTTACAGCGTTAAAATGCGTGGCCCGATTCGCTAACTGTGCGCTTTGCAAAGGGACAGCGTTGCCGAACAGCCAATATGTGGAGTGGTTTTTGCGAATGAATCAGTCGGGGGCTCAACCCACCACCGTTTGGCTGTCCCCCCCACCCCCATTTCGCCCACAAAAGGCACAGTCACTTATTCTGATCATTGCTAACAACGACAACAACAACAACAACAACTCTGGACACCTCGTGTTGCCTTTCAAATAACTTAACAAGAAAACAAGTCTGGAAACCCAGATCACTGCAAAGAATTTATCCAACTCTTAGGATAAGAAAAACACACCAGTTCCCCTCCACCCCTCTCTCTCCCCTTCTCTCTCTCTCTCTCTCTCCCCCTTTTCTCTCCCTCTCTCTCATCCCCTCCCTCTCTCCTCTCCCCCCTCTCTCCCCCCCCCCCCCTCTCTCTCCCCCCCCCTCTTCTCTCTCTCTCCTCTCCCCCCCCTCTCCCCTCTCCCTCCCCCCCTCTCTCCCTCCCCCCCCTCTTCCCCCCCTCTCTCTCTCTCTCCCCCCCCCCCCCCCTCTCTTCTCTCTCTCTCTCTCCCCCCTTCTCCCTCTCCAGCTGCTCACTCCCAGAGGAGATGGTGTGACTGTGTGTTTGTTACACAGCCTTTTCAGCCCATTTTGCAAAGGCAAAACCAGTTAAAAGGCATTCATGTCTCCCTCCCTCTCCCTCCCCATTTTCAGGCCAACTCATACCACCTAAAACTCCACACGTTTGTATTCTGCAATTATAATATATATTATATTCTGCAGTTGCATTTTTTTGGAAGGGGGAGTTTGCTTTTAACACTAATACAAATCTTTCGTTTCAACACAAAATCATTGCGACTTGCAATCTGCATTGCTGGCCCCTGGGGCAAAAGTGGGAGAGATGGACACTTGCAATTGCATGTGTTATTGACAGCAAAAAGAAGACTTTTAAACCCTCAAAATGCGCTGAATTCGAAGGGGATTCGTTAAACCTGGTAAACTAACTTGTTTTACCCACACGCCTGATCCTGTTGGCTATTGCACACTCTACGAGGGACAGGTGATAATATGAAGGTTTGCAGCTTTATAATATTAAAGTGCATTTCATTTGCACATCTGTGTGTTGCTTTTGTACAGTCAAAAAGTATAACTTGTTTTGCAAAGTCGAAGTAATCTTTACTTTGGGGTCGTGGTGAGGTTTCATGTCTGGAACCGACTGTAAAATAAATGCAAAGCTCATTTGTCTATTTGGGGTTAAAAGAAACGTTACCTTTTAACAGTGAAAACAGAGATGTGAATAGTGGGGAAAGAAAGAGAGAGAGAGAGAGAAAGAGGAAGAGAAAAGGTGGAGTAAGAAAGAGAGAAAGGGAATTTAAAAAGAAAGATAAAGAAAAAAGAGAAAATACAAGAGATGGCGATAAATTAAAAGAGTGAAAGAAAACAAGTAGAAGGAAAGAGAGAAGGTGTAGAGATAAAGAAACAACGAACGAGAAAGAAAAGGGAAAGAGAGAGAGATACAGTATATAAGTAAATAGAAAACGAATGAAGAAAAAAAAATCAATTTATGCCCAAATTGTTGACTTTCAGGGGCTGAGGAATTTTTGTTCAAAGTTAGCAATTACATATGACAAAATGGTATAGTTTCATCAACTTGTAAACTGTTCAGTAAAACGGTCAATGGGAACTTAGTCATTTTTAATCCCAAATCTTCTCCCTCTCCTTTTTTTTCTTACTCTTTTTCACGTATTTTCCTCTCTTGTATTTTCTCACCCGTCTTTTTCATTCTCTTTCTTTTTTTATTCCTCTATCTCCTTTCAGTCTCTTTACTTCTCACTTTTTTTTCTTTTTATATATAAAAAACTACACACAGAGTTAGTTGCCTTTCAAAAAAATAAACATACATATACACACATATATATATATATTTAAAAAAAGGATAATGTATTTTTCGAGATAATTGATGGCAGGTTGTGTGTATCCAATATTTAATATGATTTGTAATTTGGGACAGAGTTAATAATAACTAATAATATTATCATTATTTAATAATAATAATAATCCTTGTATATTTAATATATCCAACATGTAAATGTAACATTAAAAGAAATCTCCAGCTAAAATTTGCCCCATTCAGAATATTTGACAAACGAATTTTAAGAAAACAAAAAGTTTATTTTTTAAACAAATAGGACAGGAACAAACCAAATCTGTTCTTCCCATCTGCACTTCACTGCACAATAATAATATTAATATTATTAATAATAGTCGCTGATATAGCGCCTTATTACATTGTTGAGACATCACAAAGCACTTCACAGAATATACTGTAAAGTGGATTGACTGTATTTTGTGGATGAAACATGGCAACCAGTTACGCACAGCAGTGTCTCACAAACAGTCGTGGATTGAGTGACCAATTTTATTTAGGGATTGTTGGCCAGGACACAGGGGAGAGAGAAGCTCCCTTTTCTAGTAGGAAAATAAAGGAACCCAGACGCTTTAAAACTGGGTCAACTGCGTCCCGTATTTAAAGTGAGTTGTCCAAATTATTATTTTTTGGGTAGGGATTATTGTGGAGTCCTGTAGCTCAGTGGTTAGAGCACTCGCTTTGCCAGTGAGAGACCTGAGTTCAATTCCAGGCAGAGGGCGAAACCTTGGGCAAGTTTCCTTACTCCACACAGAGCCTAATAATAATCCCTCCAAAACCAAAAACAATAATAAATTGGTCATTTTTAATCCACGACTGTTTGTGGGACATTGCTGTGCGCAATTGGCTGCCGAGTTCGCCCACAAATATACAGTCAATTCACTTTACAGTATATTCTGTGAAGCGCTTTGGGACGTCCTCCCGACGTGAAAAGCGCTATATCAAATGCAAGGATTATTATTAGTAGTATTACCCCCGGAAAGCAAATCAACTGACAACTGAGTTCCGACTTAATGCTAGGTAAGCAGAGGCGTGTGGAGTAAAGAAGCTTGCCTAAGGTTTCGCCCTGCCCGGGAATCGAACCCGGGTCCTCTCGCTTGAGAGTCAAGTGCTTTAACCAATTCGCTACGGGACTTCGACGTCTCATCCAAAGAACAGCACCTCTGACAACACAAGACTAAATTGATGTCTCAGCCTTGATTATGGAGTTTTAGACCACAACCTTTTCACCCAGTGCCTTAAATCTCAGTGGTTAGGTAGCTGGGAGTGAGTTATGAGGCGGTCACCCTGTTGAATAGTTTGCACGCATGGATGGTAAGATGCTTTATAAACATCACTGAAATTCAGGATTTAACCAGAGTCTTCAGTTCACAAGGGAAGGAGCATCACTTCTACCATCAGTTTTATACGAGGACTCGGGTTTAATTTCCAGGCAGAGTAAAACGTTAGCCAAGTTTCCTTATTTCACACGCCTGTTTACCTAGCAGTAAGTAAGAACCGGGTTGATGGTTGATTGGCGTATTGCTTTCCGGGCGTAATAATCCCTTAAAAAGTTTTGTTTAAAAAATTGATCACTCAATCAATGACTGTTTATGTGACACTGTTGTGTGCAATTGGCTGCTGCATTTCACCCACAAAATATGGTCAATTCACTTTACAGTAGATTCTGTGAAACACTTTGAGACGTCTCAAGGATATGATAAGGTACTATATCAAATGCAAGGATTATTATTATTATAAATTACACAGTCACTACACTTTCTAGGACATCCTGAGAGGCAGTTCGAGACGTCCTCCCAATCTGAAAGGCGCTGTATCAAATGTAAATGTTATTATTACTTTATCATTGATAATAATCCCTGCATTTGATACAGGCTGCCTTCCTCACTCCCTTTGCCTTGTCCCCTCTCTTCCTATTTTCAGGTCTCGGCTGAAGACCTTTCTTTTCGATCATGCCTTTGGTCACCTTATTCCCCTGGCTCAGCCCCGGGATCCGTTACTGTGAAGCGCTCTGAGACGCCGTCTGGCGTGGAGGGCGCAATATAAATCCAAGTTGTTGCTGTAATTCCGAGATGTCT